CCCTCGTACAAATCAGATAGCTTCTTGTTTTGATGTACTTTACCCCTCACTATTGTTGTAATGTTTAATTTCTCAAAGGCCAATGGAAGTTATTCTTACTTTTAAACCGAGTATACCATGTGACTTAAAAGTGTGATAACAGTACTTTTCAGAGTAAATATTTGAACAATAAAAGCCTATAGAAACAGTCTCCAACTGAGATATTAAAGGAAAAAAAACACATAAAATAGTCCTAATTAAAAGTTTAATTTAGCACCTCAAACATTCTTTGATAAAAAGTAAATATACCATTTTTGATAAATGTTTCTTCGGTATATACAAAAGTTTCCGGACGAACTCCATGGCAATTATCAGAAGAACTCCTGACAAGTTATCATAAGAACTCCATCCTTCGTGTAACAGTTGTTCCCCGTGTTATCGTACTTGTAAAAGAAAAGACTGCAAAAAATAGATGAAACTTTAGCATTATGTGCAAGTCAGCAGATCTGTTGAATTAGATTCATGGAGTTATTCTTTACATTTTAATATATATGTATCGTTTGATTTTAAATTATATTTACTGAATCAATGAATTTTTACATGCATTTATTGAAAGATCTTTTTTCAACGGTAAGTGACATAACAGGAAAGGCTAACTTGCATACATGCATAGGAAATAAATAGTACATTTTTGTCAGGTTTGATTTTATTGAAATAGTTTGACTCATCTTGAGATTTGCAGCTCAACATTAACAATACTTGGTTAGCTTATGTTATAAAATAAATTATGATTAATGATTATTTGAAATGTCATTAAATGATAAATCATACCACCATTAATGAAATACCATGCATGTATTCAGACATGCAGGTGGCGTCTTGGCATAACACGAACTATTTTCGGTGCATTGGCTGTGCAGCGCCGACTGCACGTGAACATACAATAGATGATAAATAACGCATGATTAATGCTGCGCGTGCTAAAGATCAAATCATTGTATCAAAAATACAATTAAAAAGTCACAGTAATTAATTATTTGATTTATGATTTAAGAAAGACTACGTAAGTAAGTGTAAACTTAACGGGGAAATGTACTTTCAACTTTTGATAAAACGACGGCTGTAAATAACGTTGTCTTTTTTTTAAGTTTAAAAAAGAAAATGTGGCCTATTGGCTAAGCTGTAGGCCTCTCAACCTAGGGATCTGGGATTTGAACCGTATTAGGTAAAACCCAAAATGTTTCATTACACATCACAATGTTTAAGCTTTCATCTCATTTGCGCTAAACGAATTATGGTTTTAACCAATGCACTTTATGATATTTGCAAACAGATTACTGTTGATTTCTTTTAAATGATCTTTTATATATTTTTATGCCCCCAAATGATGGCATATAAAAATCGCACAATCCGTCTGCCTGTATGTCTGTCCATCCATCTGTGTGTCAACACTTCTTTCGTGTCCGAACTATAACTTTGTCATAGTACATTGAGGGATTTTTGAAATAGCTTGGCACAAATTTCTACAACATCAAGACGATGTGTCGCGTCTAGAAATCACGTCTCTACCTTAATGGTCAAGGTCACACTAACATTTTGATGGAACATTTCCAATGCATTTCGTGGGCTATTTTCCAGCAAGTCACGTGGGCTATTTTCCAGGAAGTCACGTGGGCTATTTTCCAGCAAGTCACGTGGGCTATTTTCCAGGAAGTCACGTGGGCTATTTTCCAGCAAGTCACGTGGGCTATTTTCCAGCAAGTCACGTGGGCTATTTTCCAGCAAGTCACGTGGGCTATTTTCCAGCAAGTCACGTGGGTTATTGATTATACATGTGAGGTATAAATAACTATAAAATTAAAATACAATCAAGACAAATTGAAAAGATAACTTTGACTTTAACCAGTAGACTCACTTTTTACTTTTTGATGGGCATATTGTCACTTTAAGAAGCTTAATATTTCATTTATAAATTTAAGGTTGAATACATGTATAAGCAATGAGAGTAGACCTGTGCATGTATTTAGTAGCTGAATTAAAACTCCTTGAAATGTAGAAATAAGGGTTCGATTTAAAATTGTATGAAAGATGATTACGTATTTTCTAAAACTTAAACGTATGTAAAGTGAAAACGCGGACAATGGCCTATTTATTTATCGTTTAATTGATATCGAAAATTTGACAAGTTGTCGGCAGATCAAACGAGAGCATAGATAGTAATCCGCTAAAAATAGATATTCTTATTTCATTTCGTACGAATAATTGATCAAGTGATTTAAAGAAAAATAATATCCATAATTTATCTCATTTGCATAATTGATTTAATAGTAATTAAAATAATAAATATCTCTATTGATGTGTATATTATGACAGGCAATAAATCATTTTGAACTAGATAAAGTGGGTTCGGCACTTTCTTTGACCTCGTCGGTGCATTTGATGCACAGTCAATCGCTCCTTACCAGGAAATTAGTTTTAAAAAAAACTATATACAAAAGACCGGTGGAGACATTAAAACTTTATGAATTCCCGATTTCATCTTCGTAAATTCACAATTTTAACTTCATGAACGAACGGAATTCACGATTTCAACTTCATACTTTCACAATATTAACCTCATGATTTCAACTTCGTGATCTCACGATTTCAACTTCATGAATTCATGTTTCGAACTTTACGATTTCAACTTCATGACTGTAAGATTTCATCATAACGAAGTTGAAATCGTGAATTCAGGAAAGTGAAATCATGCAGTACAAAACATGAATTCCTGAAGTTGTATTCGAGAAGTTGAAATCGTGAATTTGTGAAGATGAAATCGTGAATTCATGAATTTGAAAAATTGAATTCATAAAGTTGAAATCGTGAATTCATGAATTCTGTATGTTGAAATCGTTAAGACTCAAGAAGTTGAAATGTCACTATCGGTCTTTCGTAAAGGACACTGTGGGTGATGACAGTTTCAAAATAATCGAAATTCTTGCAAAATGATGAAGTACGAATAAACTTCTGATAAAATGCCGAAGCCATCTCCTGGTATTAAAGATAACATTTTGTTTAATTCAAATTTCTGTGCAAGCACCCAGCTATTTTTAGGGGGAGGGGGGGTTATGCAAACAATTCAACGACAAGCTATTGTGAGTCTTATTTGTCTGTGCGTATGTTTTACATCGTTTTAACATACTAGAGGTCAAATCTCGACATCTGATATATCTAGATAATTAACCAATGATTACCATTATTTAACTTTCTTTCAATACTAGAATATTTATTTTTGCGTGAAACAAAATGCCCATAAATCCAGTCAAAGGCCAAATAACAGCCGGAGCAAGCACTGCTCCAGCAAAAGATCACGTAATGGAACGCGACACACAAACAAGTTTTGTCAAATAGTTTATCGTGTAGGCTACACAACTGAAAGATAAAAATGAATTAAATCGTTTTTACTGGTTATATGACCATCAAAGTATGCATACATGAGATTATTTGTCATCGAAGCTGATTAACAGAGGTACAGCTAATAAACGTTGAAATTGTATTGCGGTCCTTTGAAATTGTGCCTTTGTACAATAAATCAGGTCCTAAATAACGCTACACATAAGGATCTGACGGTCACCAATAGGTTGTAACCTTTTCGTGATTTTTTAAACAGCCAATCATCGCCGAGCTTTTACAGTTTTAAAAGCGATGCGTTTTTCTAATTTAACATTAATTTTAAGAGATAAGTAGATCTGAACTTTAATTAAATTTTGCCTTTGTTTGCATTTGTTTGTTCTCATTAGGATAAAGTATAGAAAATTTTGTCATACTCGTAGATAACAATAAATGGTAAGATAACCTCTGTCTAACAAATGTATGTGTTAATTAGTAAATATTTACTAAAGGTAAGAAAATAATCGTTCGGAAAATTCTTGTCTTGTATAAATTTTAAAGCTCAAGCAAAAGTGAAGATGAACCAAGTTGATAATATATGATGTCCTCACAATGGGCTTTACTGGTAGCAAAATGGACTAACGATACCGCAACAAGAAGAACCTTTAAATTCGTAAGACCCTTTACAAATTTCACCACCTCGAACGACATTGATGTCGGAAGAAGAATAATAGGACCTGCGATCATATGCTTAATCAAAATGGCTTCACGAGAGGTCCCGTAGCCGAAATGAAAACGTTTAATCTTTAAACGTAAGACAGCCAGGTATGAGCACCTCGACGGTGTTATGGCTGCAAATTATCTTTATTATTAATGATAATTATTTTGATCATTTATGATAATTATTTTGATAATTAATGATGTTTTAAATAAAATGTTTTCATTAAATTGCACTATTCCCATTCAAGGTAATATAGTGAGTGAACAGGGGAAAGTCCAATTAAGTCATAATTCCTTTCAATTTTATAATTTACTTCACATGAACGATAAATAACTCATGTGGAACGATAAATAACTCATGTGGCCCAAGGAAAGTTCTGCAAATATCCATCGGAATTTAATTGTAACGTTCAAGACATTAAGAGAGTGGAACAGTTGTTTTTTGTTGTTTTTTTTTAAATTTAATATGGACTTACATGTTATCTTTATCATTTTCCAATTTCAAATGCTGGTCAACCGCCATAATAACAGTCAATCTTTAGAAATATATAGTCAATTCAGCCCAAATCGATGATGAAAAAATGAGCATAATGTCATTTTAATTTGAAAGTGAAAAATATTGTTGTACTTGTACAAAAACAAAACGTCTGTGTAATGGCACTGAGCCCAAATTATACATGTCTATAATGGCTGAAAACAATTGTCATAGATCTCAAGTTGTTACCAGTAAGGTATGTGCTTTCAGACCTAAAACTGTATCAAGCTGATTACAAAAGGGCAGATGTCTCAATATAATTTAAGATATCGAACTCCTGCATGATGCGTATATCAAATGGAACTTTGATACGCTAAATATTGACCTTTAGTTGACCTTTAACCTATTATCTTGGTACCAGTTGGTCTTATTATTTTGGTCCTTTGTGTTTTGTATGCTCTTTAAACGACCAATTGGTATCAGATCAGAATGTGTCATATCCGGAGTTTGGTTTTGGTGGTTTTTACCATTAGTGGTAAGATTTTAATTTAAGTTTAAGAAGCTAAATTGGTACTGTATCTTTATTTGTAGATTTATGCTCAATGGATATTATTCTTATTAACCATTTAATAAAAGTTAATAAGACTTGGCTATTGTATCCCTTTTTCATAATGGACAAGTATGAATTTAGTTCGATGCAAGATAATCATTTTAGCCGTTCAAAGTATAACTTTATCATTATTGAATAATTTGTTTAAATGTATTGTTTAATATCATTTTGATTTAAGCCTTTAACCTGCTAAAACCGAAAAGCGATTAGCCTTTGCCACCAGTATAGAGTCCACCTGTGACCCAGCCTGAATATCCGGGCCTTTTGATCAGCCTTTATTATTGTACTTGAAAATTTCATTTAGATTTTGAAATACAAAAAAATGTACCTTTAACTTTAAATGGATTGTTCCATAATTCAATACTGGGCAAATCCATTATAAAAAAATCAGCAGGTTATGGGTTAATAATTCTTTTACATTATTTTTTTTTTCAGCCATAGACGCTCTTCCTCAATTGAGACGTTTTCTGAATAGTAAGAATTTATGTTTTTCTTTTGTGAAATGAATTTAATGTGCTTAACATATGTTTTAATGATATAAGCAAACAGATATTACTTAGACTGAAATGTGAGTAAATTTCAAACAATTTCTTGTAATAACTTAATGTTTCTAGAACTATATCTCTACTATTTTTGTTTGTTTAAATTTTTGAAAAAAAAAGATAAATTAAAAATTGCCCGTATGTAATTTAAATATGTTGGTATATTTCTATTGGGGCGGAGGATTCATGCAAGTGCTCATTGCTAAATGATTTAAACAGCCTACGGTATAATAGTTTGTTCCGGAACATTTTATTCAGTTCATGTTATTCTAACAAATTTCACTTCAATGAAATGATAGGGTTTTTTAAAAGATAATTTTACTATGCTCAGATTTGATAGCAGAAGATATTGATAATTGCTACATAGTCTCTTGTAATATAAAATTAACATGTTTTGATTTCAGAGTAGATAATAATATAATTATGTTATGTTGAAAATTATTTACACTACAGGTGGTCACAATATTAATTTATAGTGTCATTTTATAAAAGGCAGTTTATTTAAGAAAAAATTAACATTACTTGACCTGTAATAGGGAATAAAGCTTCTCATACATAGTTTATTCTTTTTTTTTCTTCAAATTAAGACACATTCAGTAAAAATTTCATAGATTACAATAAATTTATGTGATTAAAATATTTTACTCAAGGATGAGCATAGTATATCTTTAAATAATTGTTTTACTGCCAGATCATTTAATAATTATAGAATATTGTTCATAATGTTGATTTACATGTATATAATACGGTGGCACAGAGGGGACATCGGAAAAAATATTTAATCACAGGCGCACTATTTTATTCCCATGCAACCTCTGTATCACCGTCTATCAAAACACTATATTCTATTACTAGAAATATTGAATTGTTTTTTAAACATTTTTTCCAGACCAAAGTCCCGTGCAGCAGGGACATTGGGGTGATCCAATGCACCAGGGAGGTAATTATATGCAGCAGCAACAACAACAACAAAACGGTAATATAGCCCGGTGTGTGACTCCGAGTAACCCGTGCCATTGCTCGATGAATTTGGCACAAGACATGAAATGTCTTGTATGCAGTTGTGGGACTTCTTACACGTCAGGTAACTTTATGCGTCAGCGATGACGTCATGTACATCTTTATGCCTAACAAAACGAGAAGGCACCAACAATCATGCCAATGTTTGATAATTAAAGACTATTTCAAGAAAAGTTAAGCATGTTGCAACAGTAAAAACAAATAATGATAAAACTGGAATATTGTCAATATTGCGACTCACTGCGATATTTTTTTACATAATGAACGATATATATCCTAATCACTGATATTGTATTCTATCATTATTATCGTATTTTTTTCACTCATGTTTTACCTTAATATAGGTCCTGCTCAATTTTCAACACAAGCACCGTCTTTGATATCTAGCACACACAATATTGTATCAACCACATCACCTACACCGCCGGTAACCAGTCGTACACCGCCAACAACAATAACAACAATGCAACAGGCGCCATCAACAACAATAACAGCTACAACAGAAGCAAGAACAACGACAGCAGTAGCGACAACAACGGCGTCAGTCGACTTTTGTGATGTTGCTAAGCAACTGTGTCAAACTAACTGCCCGGATGGTTACCTCGTGGACCCTGCAGACTGCACTTTTTGTATTTGTAAAAAGGACGCTCTTTCCGGTTAATTTCTGACAGCCTCGTTTTCAAAAGGTGTATGTCTTTGAGTTAATAAAATGAAAATTAATGTGTTTTGATGTTAAAAATGTTCAATTATTTTGATATATTTTGAGTTGATACATGATTTTTATCTGTGTACACATGTTTTAAAGAATCGAGAGTATATAGCCCGATGACCATACTTACTGCCTTAAAGGAACTCCACTGAGGTTTTTAAGCCCAAAACATAACATTTTAATTTTCACATAGATAAACATGAGCACTTTAAACATAAATATAAATAAGATATAACTAGGAAGTACACAAGAAATACATTGAAATCATATGTTTGTGATATTCTCAGTCCAATTTGTGTGAAAAGAGTTTAAATGTTTTCCAATTTTCGGTCATTTTTCACTATTATAATAATTATTCTGGAAAAACGGAGCGAGCTTCTGATCTGAAATGTTGCACATAAGTTATTAGTATAGATCTACATCAAATGGAGTAATAATCTCAAAAAAATATTTCCAGTCCCGTCATGTCAAAAAAAACCTCAGTGGAGTCCCTTTAATGTTATTTTCGCATTTGTGGAACATGTCACATAAAGGAAGCTGAAAGTTCTAGTCACTGGAGTAAAATATCCAATAAACTTCAAATTTCAGATTTTATTCAAGAAAATGTAATATATAATATTGATAATGCTATGAAAGATCAACAACATTTGATAATGAATAGTTATTTAAAAGTGATTTTCAAACCAATATATACATATACATAAAAATTTATAATGAATGAGAATATTTTGAGTAACACATATAGGTATTTGATTTATCTTTATACTTTGGACATAATTTTTCTTACATAAATTAGGATGAGCATATATTCGAGCCGCCATGTTGAAAGTTCCTCAAATAATGACGTCACAGTGGGAAACACCCGCTCACGTGACAAAAATAGGGTTTCCATACCACGTGATATCATTTTTGGGCAATAAGTCAAGCAGGTAAAGTAATGAACCGCTAGTTCCAAATCTTTAAACTTAAGTACGTTCTTAATTTCTTTATAAAATATGAAAAAATCTTTAAATAAAAAAATTATTGTAAAATTTTGATAATTATTTTAAAAATACCATGTAAACGTTAGGGGGAGAAGTAAAGTTTTCCCGTTTTCGGGTCTATCTATCAAAAAATAGTACCATACACTTAATGGTATGAGCCGCGCCATGACAAAGCCAACTACAAACCTTATTAAAAGGCGAATGGAGGGAGGGGAAAAGAATGGAAAGTGTATTTACTGTGAAACATACATTGTATCACACTTCCGGCCATCTTTATTGATATAAGGAAAATCTCCGAAAGAGTTAGAATAAACAATAAAACATTTCAAACACTTAATATGTTTGTAAATATCCTTCTGGCAGTATTCCTGGAAATTATAAACATCCTGCCTTTTTTGATGAGGGGAAACAATCGTGTGACTTTACAATAAGTCTTGATGAGTTACATCCCCTGAATATTGTAACTTCTGAAATACATAAACAGAAAAATAGCGCATTTAAGCAAATCTCTTCATGTTTGGTTGCTAGAAGCTTACCTATAACTGCATTCAACAAAACTACATAAAGTAACACAAAACAACAACAACAACAACAACAACAACAACAACATAAGGGTGGTCTAATTTATACGTTTGATAGAACATTTTCAATAAACTGAGATGTAAGTCATTAACCATAAATTAGCCGCGTCACGAAAAACCAACATAATGCGTTTGCGACCAGCATGGATCCAGACCAGCCTGCGCACCTGCGCAGTCTGATCAGGATCCATGCTGTTCGCTATCAGTTTCTCTACTTGTTATAGGGTTTGTAAGCGAACAGCATGGATCCTGATCAGACTGCGCGGATGTGCAGGCTGGTCTGGATCCATGCTGGTCGCAAACCCATTATGTTGGTTTTGTTATTAGAAACTATAACAGGACATCAAATACAATTTGAAGCTTTTGAAAAATACAATAAAAATATTTCTGTGCTTTTAAATGAAGATAGGAGGGGTCGGATTTTCTTCTGGTCAAAATATAGACACATTCTAAAGGGGTACTTAAGACAGATCGATAACAGTTGCATTATTTTAGTCGGCTCCATCTCATTAACGATTGGGAGCATTTTGCAGGTGCGCGATGACGGAGTATCCTACCATCCTAACATTGATAATGGCTTTAGGTAGGTTTACCAAAATCATGTTTGTTAAGTTGGCAGTCTAGCAGTCTGGATTTAATAGATTTTTAAAAAAAAAATCGGTTACGAGGGGTCATCATCGTCAGGTCATTATTATATAATTATGCCGTGATTTCAGAAAAAAAAATTAAAGAAAAAAAGATTTACGGAACTACAAACTGGCAATTCTCCGTATTATTAATCTTATTTGAAGTTTTGCTTCATGCATCGCAACTAAACTGCTACATTTTGGCAGATTAAGCTTTGCAAAATAATTGTAAAACGACCCGAAAACCTCATGTATAGTTTAAAAACATGACACGTGTTTTTCACCGAAATCTTCAAACTTTGCTGTTACACTTTAGAGGAAAATCCTGAAAAATCTCAAAGGTGACATTTTTGTTTACAAAATTGGTGGTGTTATATTATTTTGGTCCTTCGGGATCATTGATGCCAGCACTATTAAGTGTTGAGTCTTGAATACCGCTCAAACCGGTGCTAGGGGGCGTGAGGGATGTTGCACTCATTCATTATACCTCATGTACAGACTCAATCAAACCGAGTCTACAATTTTCATGTAAATTTGTTGTGATTAAATCTTCCGAGGGATCACTTTGTTTCCAGATTTTTACGCGTATTAATGAGTCAACGTCGTTTTGTTAATACGAAATATCATGTTTTAAACATTATATACAAATTCAAAAAAAAATCCGCAAAGTAATCCTTAAGGCCATCTTAATTTTTTTTTATTTTATTTTATTTATTTATTTGTTTATTTATTTTATTCTTTTTTTTGCTGTTTTTCTTTCTTTGTCAATGAGTTGATTAATTTACATTCAAAACATTACAAAATACTTTTTTGATGTTTTTCTTTCTTTGTCAATGAGTTGATTAATTTCCATTCAAAACATTACAAAATACTTCTTTATTTTGCAGATACATTGTAATTTTGGACTCCAGGATCTAATTGGACTGTGTGATCATTCGACAATTCTGGTGTCGGCACATCATTGTAAAAAATACAGATATTACATGAAAGTAAAGTGGAATACATTTATATACTAATAAAGAGAATGAGAAAGTTCTTAAGTTTCGTAATAGTTTCAATTAGCATTATGCTCGCATGCACAGTTGATAAAAAGACTAAACGATTTATTGAATGTTATTAACATGATCTATCTTTTTTATCAAAACATACCTTTACTTTCAAAGAACTAAAATCAGCTAACAGAATGTTTTAAATCGTAAACTTTTAGAAATATTACTTGTAGCTGTAGAGAACTATAATCAGTGAACCGGTTTACACCAGTAGTGGTTAAACTTTCATAAACAGATGTAGGTTGGTTGACGTCAGCTTGTCTCGTGTCAGTGTCGGTATCATACACAGTTGTAGGTTGGTTAACATCAGCTGGTCTCGTGTCTGTGTCGGTAGTGGCTGCAATAGTTACAATCTGTTTAAGTTTCCGTTAATAAAAATTCACATTCTGCACACTTTTAAATTCGATTTAGAATGTTATCTAAGTTAACATATTTCTTACTATAGTTTGATACAAATCGTACCCAATTTTAACCAAGACGTAAAATATATAATGTATTGAGACGTTGGCTTTCCACACCAATTGATTATCCTTAAAACAAAAATATATAGGTCTTAAATGTACTTTTCTTCTTTTTCTTTGCACACAAACGTATTATATTAATAAATAGTATTGCATTTTATTTGTTTAACATAATTATAAACCATAATTAAACATATTTTTGATTCAAAATTATGATACAAATGAATAATAAAAAGAAGAAGGTTTTTGTAATTCAGAAGAAACAAAAGTTGAAAAGAAGCTATATAAACAACCTACCTCCAACAAAGACTTTATTAATATTGTAGTAGCTCAGGTCATTTTTGGATCCCAAAGCAGTGTTGCTATTCTCTAATCTTTTGAGTCTACAATTTTCATAAAGAATGACAATAGTTTTCTGCATAATATATACTAGACAAATCTTACTTTTTTTCATAAACAGCCACCAGAAAATCTTTGCACCACCAGGATTAAGGCAAACTTCACTACCATTTAAAAGTGTCCTAAACATTTATAAATCATTTCTCATGATAAATTTAGTGTTAATTAACAATAATTTACTTCAATTTAAGCTTTATTTATTTGCTTTCTCATCTAAATTTACACTTAAAAAATTTGTCCGGGCGGATTTCAGCTGAATCCATCCGGAGAAATGTCACCCACCCAGACAAATTAAAATTCCAATCGAATAATTTTGCGGCATTGTCTATTTATTTAATTGGATTTTCTTATTTTTTTTAAATTGTGGAAATGCCCTACCAGATTGAAATATTTTAATTAATAACTATATGCTTCACAAGTTTCTGACACTAGATACGTCGTTATAAAGTGTCGATATTCCGCGGATATCGGGTAATCCACGCAGATTGTCCGTGCACTGTTTTCTATTCTTATCTAACGTTTTGCTAGGAACTTTACTACACACATTTTTCAATCAAGCATTATTCGTTCAACGTGTAATTTATTAGATTGTATACTGTGTAACAATTTCATTTGAGTTGTGTCAAAGTTAAAAAAAATTATTGAAGTTTATTTAAGTTGAAAGTTTTGTCTGGTCAAATTCAATTGCTTTGATAATTAAAAGTCATCTAAAAACAATTTCAGAAAGAACAGAATATTTAAGATTTTTTCCAACTGATAAATTTTAAAGCGAATCAGACTTAACGTCAAATATTGTAACGGTCTATGGGTTGCTTTATATTCGTCGGTTGTAACACAGCTCAGGATAATTTTATTTCCGATTTATTGAATTAAGGATAAAAACTGAAGGCATAACTTAAAAC